TTAGTTTAAATTTTACAGGAATTACAAATGCTCATTAGCGACACCAGCTTTGTGACAATCACAGCAACCTTGGCAAAATTAAGTCCCTATAGATGCTCAGACTTCTTAGTAGGATGACTATGAAGAGGTGGTGGTGGTATGTTTGTTTTTTAAGCAAAGCACAGTATCCTTATCTTCCTATGAAGAGTGCTGAACCACTTCAGCACATATAGATACATATATATTTAACAAATGGAAGAAATCAGCCCAAAGCAAGTACCTGACATGGAAAAAAATTCAGCCTCAATACCTTTAGGCCATTGAAAACAAGTCTAAAAACAGGGTCTTTTAGTGGAAAAATGTTGGGCTAATATTCTTAGAGTTCTTCTCTGTCATCTAGGGCAGGGTGAGAGTGTCCCACTTGTCTGCCTAATGCCTGTGTTCTGATTTCAAGTGTTTTATTGGAGTGTGTCTAGGACATGAGAAAATGGGGACAGATGCAAGAGGGGAAAACGTGGAAATCAGCAGAAATAAAGAGAAATCTGAACAGAAAAAAAAATCCAGTATAGATAATTTAAACCAGAAAGTTTGTGGCACACTGTCAGAACTTCAGCAAGTGCAAGTTGTCCTCCTGTTTGTTGTTGTTCCTGAGTTTTTTTTTTGATCTGAAACATATTACTTGTAAAGGAAAGCATTTCTATCAGCCTACCTTAGTGAGGGCTAATGGGAACAGCTGTGATAATCTTTGTATCCTGTTTGCCAAGAAGAGTTTCCTAAAACTATTTGCTCTTTGAGAAAGGAACGCGCTTTTAAGCCATAAGCAGGAAAGGCCTGGGGATGCAAGTCTTGTTTGTGCATACACAAAGCTGTCTAGACCTTGAACTCCGTAAGGCTTGTACCTTTCTTGCATAGTGAGAGCTGTTAAGAATGGTGGCAGTGACCCTGGTGCCTCTCAGAGGGGAATTGAGCCACACTTACATGTTGTTTTTTTTTTTTCCTGGCTGATTTGTCTGATGCTGTGTTTTCACATACTCAGAGCATTCAGAGCTGCACCTGTTCCAAATTCGCTTGCAGGTGGTGGCAGCAAGCCTCATTTTTACACATTCAGGTTAACTCCTCTGGGCCAAAGGGTTGTTCCCTGCTGGATCTGATTGCACTTTCTTCACCCAAGCAATTGCAGACCTAACGTCATGAGCAAAGTGCACCTCTCGAGCTGGAGCACGGCTCCCCAGCAAAGGAGACACCCAGGCTGGGGGAGAACCTTGAATACACACATGGAACAAGCTGGGCATGGGGACAAAAGGAGGTTATAGTCCATTTTGCAAATGGCCAGCTGTTGGGCTGCCCAGGTTGCCCCACAGATGCAAGTAGGGGGGCTGCAGCAAGGCAGCTGAGCCCCAGCCACTGAGGTGAGCTGGGCTTTGTGACGGGCTTGCTCGTTAGCCAGCCTGCTTGATGAACACACGCCCATGGTGTGTCGGGACAGGGCTTGCCCTTTGGCAGCTGAAACTTCAACTTTGGGTGTGCACAAAAGTTCCGTGGTGTTTGGGGGGGTTCCCCAGAGAGCAAGTGGTCTTTGTAAAGCCATCTGAACACCTCCCCCTGAACACCGTCCCATCCTCCTCCATCTAGCCTTCATCTCTTCATTACAATGATGGTGTTTCCATGGCTGCCTTGCACTGAGATGCCGGCTCAGCATCCTACCCCATGCTAAAAGCAGGAGAGCTGCCTGGGTGAGGGGAGCAGATCTGTGCTCAGCATGCAGCAGGTGAGCCTACAATACTTCCCCAAAGCTCCTACACCCCACAAAACCCCTTGGGGGTGCCCCACAGGCCTTTCACGCTCCTGTCTGCTCCCAGAGCTTTTTCAGCAAAGGTGAGAGGCAGGACGGCAGCAGGAGTGACCGCCACGAGCCAAGGGGCCAGGAGGAGCTGGAGCAGCCTGCAGCTCCCCGATAGCAATGCTCTCCCTGCAGCTGTGTCCTCCAGGCTCTGGCCCTGCCGCAGGCTTGCTGGCTCCCCGCCAGTCGCTGCTGGGACGTCGGTTGAGTTTCTTATCATTTCCAAACAGCATTGCATCCTTAGCATTTCCAAACAGCAACACTGTGCTTTGAAGCCCACGGCAAAAGCAGCCCCTTCTTTGGGGCAGAGGTGGGAGGGAGCAGGGCTGGAAAAATACGGCTGGCAAGTCACCTGTTTGAAGGCTGAGAGCTGGGGCTGGGGCTTCGGGAGGTGTTGAAATCCACCCTGCAAACCTTGAGCTGCTAGCACTCGGGTGAATTGTTGGGCTCGAGTGTTTGGCTGTGCTGTTTGGGGAGGTGGGAGAGACGAGAAAGGGGGTGTGGGTGGCAGCGAGGGTTTATAGGGGGCTGTGCTTGTGGTGAGATGTTTGTGGGGAGGGAGGTGGTCTTGGGCAGGCTGCTTGGTGGATGGGATTCCAAAGCCTAAGGAAAACAGCAGATCGTGGATGAAATGAATGAAAGAGAGCCGTTCTTTCAGATGTAGAACCAGGTTTGAGCCGTGTAAACCATGAAGGAATTTACTGCATTTGGCAGCTGTACTGGTGGCACATGATGACATTTATGGGTGTGCAGTGGGTGTTATTCCCCCATCTTCTCCCCATCCTAAATGCTCGAGTAACCCAATGCATCTTTCAGATCCTCTCGGCCCTCTGCCATCTACTCCCTGGAGCTGCTGCTGGCGAGCGACCGCAGAAAGCAAAGCCCAGGTCTCTGCAGGGTTTTCCTGGAAAAGCGAGCTGTTCTTCGACTTCTCGTGTGTTTGGACACTCATCCTCCACTTGTCGCTGTATCACTGGAGAGTCAGTGCTTCTTCTGATATTAATTCTTGCAAATAGCTCTTACTGTCTAATTTTAATGCCTTTTGCAAGTAACTGGCTTAAGTGTGTAACCGATTCCTACAGGGATAGTCCAGGCTAGTAGGAACATACCACACCTTCCTAGGATGTCTTTGCGGTCTGGTAGAAGTTATTCAATGTTTTCAGTAAAAATGTATTTAGAATCTCCATTAGTTGGCTTTTTTTTTTCTTCCTCACCTTTGGACGTGAAATGCGAGGTCTGCTTAGAGCAGGAATCCAGTGTTTCCCTAATGAGGTTAAGCAACTAGATGAAAATTAATGATGACCATAACATGTCCTGGCCTAGACACCATGCAGCAGTCTGTGCTTTCCAGACTGGGAGCAACTCAGCCTCCTGGCTATCATTTTCTTGCAGCAGGAATAGAAATAGCCTTCTTTTTCCAACGACAGGACTGCTGGGATGACTCTGGGCTGTGGATGGCAAGGGCAGACTTCCTCCAAGAAGCTGCATTCCCTGATGACTTCTACCTGGACACTGCGATGCCAACGCACACAATTTCCATGGTGTTCTTACGCTTTGCTCTGGGGTCTGATTCCCACCCTGGGGGCAATGCTGGTGTCCCGTGCTCCATCTAACCCTTAGGACAAACCCTGAAACCTCTGAGGAAGCCCAGGGCAGAGCAGGGCACTGATTTCAGTTGAAGCAGTTTAACGAACGCCAGCCTCATTGTGCTGCGTTGTTTCTGTGGGTGTCTGCACCTTTCAAGCGAGCTCCAATTAGAAGACAAGGGGGGAGAGGAGAGGGAAAGAAAGGGGAGTAAATAGAGGCAAAACGATTCTGCTTTCAGCAAATCCACAGCCTGTTTGTCGGACAGATGGAGCCGGGCAGTGGATGGCTTTGCTGCAGCCTGGCCCCCGAGCAGGTGGGTATTTTGGAAGCGACGAGCAGTTTGCCCCCCTAATTCGCGGCGGCGCGGCTCACACCGGACATATGTCGATAACAGCTCCGCTTGGCTCCTGCTGTCGCAGGAATCAAACCACGCTCGCCCCTCCCCACCTGCTCTGGAAAGAAATTGCCGGAATAAAAACAAACAAACAAACAAAAAGTTAGGGACACTTGTTGCGCTGGAGTGGGAAGGACAAACGAGGGCTCAGAGGCTCACGGGCATGATTTCACTTAAGGGCTAATTGCTGAGCAGCTTTCATTAAGAGACCGGCGTGGTTGGCCCAGCAGCGTTCTGAACGTATATGCAGATGGGCAGATGGCCCTTTGCTGTGCTACAGACAGACGCATCTAATGTTACAGATGGATTATTATGTTGATTCGTTGCTGAAAGAAAAACTTGTCTCACAATAGGGCGTTCGTTTGAGCACAGTTCCTTCTCGAGCTTATGTTCCTCCTCAGCATTGCTGGGTTTCACTCCACGAAACAAAGTTCTCAGTCAGCAAGGCTAGTGTTTCCCCTTCTGTGCTGCAAAAAGAGAAAGAAAACAAGTTAAAGAGCCCATCTAAGAGTAAAACAATCCTTTTAGGAACCTGGAAGATGCTGTTTAACTTCAGCTGCTGTTGACTAGGGTGGAGGGTACCTTTGGTAAGCAGTGTTTGCTCTTCATCTTTCTAGCCCATACTGAGCTGTGGTCATTCCTTTTTCAAGTCCTAAAACATCCCTGGGTTAGGAAGGAGATCTGGGAGAGATGGATGGAAGAGGAGACAGTTTGAAGCTCAAGGTAACCTGCCCAGAAGATGAAATTTTAGCAACAAGCAGCAGGTTGGTAGATATGGGTCAAAATGCATGCATTGCCATTGTGGTGGGACAACCATGGTACTTCCACAACAAACAGTAAGATGATGTGTTTTTAAAGATTGCAAGGTATCTTGTCTTGTTATTGGAAAGGCTCTCTCCTGCTTGTGCAGTGTGGGGGCAGAGGCAATGTGAGGGCTGTCCTGTCCCACGTCCAAGAGAAATGAGACACAGGACCAGGTGGATGGTTGGATTCTGGCTGACCATTGCTCTCCTCGGGCTGCTGCCAAAAGTTGCTTCTGGCTCCTCTCATGGTGATCTTCCTGGGCTGTATGTTTTGTCACAGCCCTGTCAAAGCTGGTTTATTTCCTCAGGACACTGGGGAACAAACACTCCATGGGACACACGAGCAGAGGTACGAGAGTCAAGTTAACAGCCCCTAGCACCACTTCTTACCAGCTTTGTTGTAGTTGTGACAAAAATAACACTCTTGTTTCATCATGTTTCTAAATATAAAAAAATAAAAATAAAAGGGGGGGAGGGGTGAGGTGTTAAAAAGAAGTGGTAAAAAAATCACTTCTTCTGCTTGACTTTGATATCTTGACATTGAATTTCTATCCATTAGATAAACACTCCTGCTCCTTATCTACCCAGCCTTTGTAACTCGGTGTTGTCATCCCAAGCAGAGCTCTACCACAAGTTTGGCCAACAAGAGAAAGGCAAACAGAAGATGAACTTGGAGATAGGAAATTTGGAACTACCTGTGGTGCAAACAAGGCAGTAATGCTAAATCTGGGTGGCGTTGCATGCTTTAATAATGAAGCAGCAGCAGAAGGTCCCAAAAATAAGAGCAGAAGTTGTCCCACAGCTGAGATATGTGGCACAGCTGTTGTGTCACTCTCCAGTAACAGGCTGTCCTGAGATCACACCTTTTCTCTCACGCTGTCCAAGGTGTGATTTAACTGCCCCAGGAGGATCTGATGAATTAAAAATCAGTGGTGCTTCTCCAAATAGTGGAGGATGTTGTGTGTCAAATGCTGAAAATGAACCTCAAGTGATGGCTTAGGCTTGCCAGCTGTTACCTGGGCAGACATGCCTGCCACCTGGGCTTAATACAGGATTTCAGATGTGTCTGGACAGTCATTAAAAGTCTGACTGTCTGGTTCACAGCTTGTCCTAGTGATGAAGTCTTGAGGTTTGCATCCAAACAGTCCCAATCAGAGCCTGTGTTTGGGGCTTGGTGGAGCTCTGTAGGGATGGGAGCTATGGAGGACCTCAAAATATGATGAAAGCCTGCAGATAAGGGAGGTTTCCAATAGATAAGCAGGATACTTATCTGTGGTTGCAGAACAGACAATCGCAGAAGCCAGCAGAATTTAGGATAGAAACATGTTAAATACTGGGAAAATTTGTTGCATAACGTGAAGTAACATTACACAACGCAGGGAATGGGATACACTGCTTAAAACAGAAAACGACCATATGACCTTTTAGTTTTAGTTTCTGAATGAAATCAACTGTCATTATGCAACAGTTGACCTGCCCATAAAACAGGGGAGTTGATATTTACCTACGCCCCTGGCATGCAAGTCATCAATTAATATTTGCAAGGCAGTTGGAGGACTTTGGATGAATGGCTTTGCAGGTACAGAGATATGCGTTGGAGTTTTCTCACCGTTAGACATAACACAGCAGTGAGCATGTCCGTGTGTCTGTGTACAACCACTTGGGGCCACAAACAGCTTTCCTACAGGAATGGTGTGGTTTAAAATTGGAAAAAGCATAATTCATGATTAATTATTTAACCTTACCCTACAACGCCTTATGCCTAGGAGACATTGTGGTCACACTATGGTTGCATTTGTCATATTCAAACAAACTAGGAAATAGTTTCTGTACCGGCCATGACAGGCCAGACTAGATGACCTCTATGGATCTTCTTGGCCTCAGTTTCAGTGAATCCATGCACCCTATCATAGCATGAAAATATATTTACTTAAATATGCCAGCCATACCAAACAACACTAGCTTCAGTGGTCCCTACCTCCTCCAGCTGTCTGATGCTACCAGCCTGATGCTATTTCCCAAACTCTGTTGGAAGCTTTACAGAAAAGTGATGCTGCAGGAAGAGGAAGCTGTTTGGGGCAAGGTTTGGTAGAAGGCCTCTGCCTTCAGCAGCTCCCCGTGTGACTGTCATGACCTCATTTCTTCAAAGAGCTCAGCACTCCGCCTCCAAGTTCTGGGGAAAAAACGGGCCATTCATTTGCTGTGCCTAAATGGGATTTTAACTAATCCTTGAAAATCTGGCCCAAATATTTCTTCTATAATTAAAAAAAAAAAAAAAAAAAGGAAAAAATTATAATTCTTAGATTTATAATTGTCAAGGAAATTCTGGTGTCTTTGTTATCTGAGACATACCCCTTGAGACTTCTCACATCTATATTTTGCTGAGAAGCAGTGGGAGCGTCTTTCCATATGGCTCAAGAAAACAAGGCAGTCAAAGCAAAGACAGAGAGAATTTTAGGACTGCAGTGATAACATCTTCTGCAGAGTTTATAGTGACCTTGCTGCTTTTCATTGTGACTTGGTTGACTGTTTCTTGAAAAACACAGAGTGATACAAATCAGGATTTGAGAGGGAAACAAACAGCCCATCAGTTTGAGGGAAAAAAAAAGCATGAAAGCCAGATCTTGCTGGTAGCTTGTTGATGTTTCTGTGCTCTTTCTGTAGGAAGGAGACCCTCAGCCCTCTGTGAAGGAAGGACTTGAGCCAGCAACAAATCAGGACATCCTTGTGAAGGTGTGAGAGAACATGAGCATTGGGGCTCCTCTGCCTTTGAAACCACCTTTGTGTGAGCAAGAACTGGAGCTTTCCTGCAAAGGTAGGTCTGTGCTTTGCAGAGATGAGAGCATGCAGTTTGCAGCTAAACTAGGAGATGAGTAGGTGTCTAAATTGTTTTATACGTATCCAGGTCAGGATAGGAAAAGGAGAGAGATTTTCTCCTCTGCTGCCTGTAAGATCCAGATGCAGCATCTGCAAAGCACAGGTTATGTTCACATTCAGTAGGTTCCCATCTAGCCTGGCTGAGGTCTTACTTTTTCTCTAGATGGTTCACTTCAGCTATAGCCTCCATCCTGCTTTTCTCCTCGTAGAATCACAATTTCCAAGCTGTCATCGCAGCTGCATAAAGGAAGATGCTGGCTCAGTGTGCTAAGACCACACTGAATATTTATAGCACAGAATAAAAAAGTAAAGGTGAAATGTGTAGCCCAGGACTCATGGTTCTTTCTTGTGTGCTCCTGGGAATGGAATTTTTGTCCATTGGACTTGAGCTGCTCTAAAAAGTACAGAACAAAAGCTGATCTTAAAAGTGATCCGCAAAGGAATAAATGGCAGGCGCCGTCTTTGTTATTCATGTGTGGTGCTCAAAGAGCACTTGAAATGGTTGGGATTTTCTGTGGATATGTTCTTTTTTTTTTTTTTTTTTTTTAAATTCTGCTTGGGTTTTGGGGCATTTTGGTGTTTGTCTAAGCACTGGCTCAAGCATATGTCTCTCCTGAAATGCATTATGGCTGGCTGGGAAAACCACACGTTGGTGACATCAGGGGACACATGAGTGAAATGGGCGTAAATGGGAAAAGCTGGGTGTCTGGGGCTGTGATATCCTCTGAGAGGCAGCCTGGCTTTTGTCTCTCACTTAATTTTATTTCTGCGCCACACAATTTACACACTGAATCATGCTCAGCAGCCGTATTCACAAGCTGGCATAAATTTATTTTCATCTGCTGGCCAATTATACCAACTGCCTCAACTGTTGTTTATTTTCTTCTGTTGCATCCTCTTGAGTTACCATTAACAGTGTCCCTTTTGAGTAGAGATGGGCTTTTTGGCACTGGGGCCTGTCGGCCTGCCAAACTAATGGACCATATCTGTTATCTAACAAGTCGTAAAGGCTCCAGTTTCAGGACAGCTTGCAGTTGCTGTGGCCACCTGCAGTGCACTGGCAGGGGTTTAGGCCACTGCCCGGGTGGGACGTGTCACCCCGGCTCAAGCGTGTCCTTTGGCACGGGTCTGCTCTTGGGGGGGACACTTATGGGCTTTGCCTTGGAGAACAACAGCCTTTCTGTGGCTGACAGCCTCACCTCCCGGGGTGAGGAGGCCCCTGCACACGGCTGCTTTGGATGCTGCTCCACCAGCCGGAGAAGGACCTGGCTACAGGGAGATCCTGAGAAACCTCCGCCAAGCAAGGCTGCAGGAGGAAAGAGCCCTGCAAGGCTAGGACCCCTCCATCTGGGGAAGCTGTTAATTAAAATGAGGAATTAATCAGTCTGAAAAACAGCAAAAGGAAGGACATCTTTTACATGATGCAGCTAGAACTGACCTCTTTTGAGTAGCACCTCCTTATATTGGCTGTGCAAACCAGGTCCTACCTTTGCAAGACCCTTTGGGCATGCAGCCCCCAATTCCTTCTCCTCCAGTTCCTTCTCTTAGCTTGTAGGACATGCTGCATTTGAGCCAGCAGGGCTTTTGTGCCCTGCCCGCATGGAAACTCAGAGCCAACTCCACTCAAATCACCCCTGACTTGCAAAATACTCCAGCCCTCTGTCACTTTACTGTCTTTGTGGTCACTTGTGCCCTATTTGCTGTGGGTTGTTTACTGCCAACGTTGGAGACTCATCTGGAACTGGAAAGCTGAGCTGTCTCCTTTCTGCCCTGACAGCCGGGGTGTCCCGGTGCCAGCAGACATTACAGGGTGCTGGAGGACTACAGCCTGCTGCAGCTGAAGCAGCACCACACATAGACCAGGTGCTCATGCAGGACCTCTGAGGGGGGCTCAGACCACAGCTTGCATTTGTAGGGCTAACAGTTCAGGAGGAAAATGTCTTTCTGGTCAAAGGAGTGCCTTTGAGCCATGCTTGCTCACAGATGCTCTCCTTGTTGTACCATGGGGATGGTTTTTATGTTCACCTTTACCCCTCAGAAAAACTTTTCCAGGGCGTGGCAATGAACATGTTTTAGCTGGTTATTTTGAACAGAAGGGTGCCAGGCAGGGTGACAGTCCTTCAGGGCCAGGTTGTGGATCTTGGTGGCCAGGTGGGCCAGCAGGCTCTGTGCTGAACCAGGGAAACAGAGTTGCCTGAAGGCCTGGAGGCTTGGAGGGGAAAATGGGGAGACACCACATTTAAATGGTTTAGTCAACACGTGGTCCTCTTGGCAGACTTGGTGTGTACCCAAGCTCCTGAAAGACAGAGCTTCTGTACAGTCCACTCTGAGCTGCAGTTGTGTTTGGGTTTCAAGCCAATTCTAATTCAGAAAGATCCCAAACCAGGACCCTACATGTTTGCCTCTATTGTGGGAATGAGGACTCTGTCAATGCCACAGCAAATGCCACCTCCTTGCAAATCTGGGAGAGCCTTCCCATGACTATTTGGCAGCACGTCTAGTTTTTGTAGGCCAAAACTGTTCACACGTGAACACAGCAAGCACGCTCAGCAGCCTGGAGGTGCAAGCTCCTTGTTCCTTTTGAGTCACTTGTGTAAGAAACACCTCGCGTGGTTACTGCCGTGCAGGGCAGCTCGTCACCACACAGCGCTAGGCGATGGTGCTGCAGAGCGGCCTCATTTCTAGACGTGCTGCTGACACCACAACATCCTTGACTCCGCCAGGCCGGTGGGTTCCCTGCATCCTCTTAGGCACCACAGTTTCAGTCTGCCTTCAGTTTGAGGGCTGAGACAAAAAAGCAATGCTCTGCACGCCTCCTCCGAGAGGGTCTGCTGTCTGCTCTCAAGAGAGGGGCAGGACGTGCAGGCAAAGACAGGCCTCGTGCTGCCAAGTTCAGAGTCATTTCCTTCTCTCTGGTGCTCGAGGCTGTCTGGAGCAGAGGTTGGACTTGAGGCTCATCTGTAGCCCTCAGCAAACTTCTCATAAACAGGAAAGAGCCCCACGGGGAGGACGACAAGACAGCAATCAGTTCTGCTCTGATCTTTTGTTCTTCCCCTCCCCTTTTGTCTTAAAGCTAACAATGCCTCGCTTGATTTGTTGCACAAGAGAGCTGCCAGATGGAAAGAAAGCAATGTACTTCAAGAGCGTGGCAGTCCTCAGCGAGGCCTGCTGCTCGCAGCGCGGGATGGCCGTGGCCAGATCCTGTGTGCAGCTGAGGAAATGCCACCTACCGGGCCTGTTCCCTGCCTGCAGCGCCGGGCTTGCAAAAAAAGGCTTTGCACAGGACAGGAAAGAAAGTAGGCGCGACCACAGCTGCCGCCTGGGAGAGGGCAGCTGTGGACCTTTCCACGGCAAGACCCGCAGAAATTATTTAGGGGTGGGAGGTGGGGGTCTATAGATGACAAGGACTTTGGGTTCTGCGGCTGGAGGGTGTTCTTTCCCAGGCCTTTCAGCACAAAAGAGCAGAGGGAGCCCTGCCGGGGGGCTAGACAACATGCAGGGCGTTATCTCAGCCCTGTGACAATTTTTGTGTTTGGTTTCCTTCCGTAATATCACTGTGACAAAGGGGAGGGAAACCTTTTGTTTATCAAATGTTCTCTCCAGCTTTTTGCTGCAGCACCCCTGTGCTTGCTGGCAGCCTCCCCGAGTGCCAGAAGGTGTTCAGGAAATCCTCCCTTGTGCTAGCGAGGCTTGTCCTGCTCTGGGGGGCGATGGGCAAGAGGCTCCACAGCAGGAAGCTGCTCTCTTGAAGCAAATCTCTTAAAAATGGAAGAAAAGCACTGGTCCTTTTCTGCATGGTCTGTTCCTGTCCCTTCAAGAAGTAACCTGCCACTGCGAATATGGATGGCTTAGCAGGCAGTTTGTCCTGCAGACAGGAGGCATGGCCTAGTCATAAGGATACTCAGCTGGAGTAAGAAGTAGGAGACAGGTCTCTGCTGAATGCCCACATTTCCAGGTCTTATTCCTCTCCACTTGACTTATTTCTAGCTCCATGAGTCTTTTGTGGCTACCTGTTGGGCCAACCTCAACAGGACATGCCTTTGACCCAGTAGCAACAGTGCCCCTCTGCTTAAGTCACCTTCCTGTGATATGGGGAGTTGAATCTTTTCTAGGTGGAGAAGGAGTTCTGGTTTCTCACGTCCTGAGTGAGCTGCTGCCAGTGAGCACTACTGTGCAATGCAGCTCCTGGCAGCTATTTTCAGGTATTGTAATGCCTCAGCTGACTTTTTGTAACTCATCTTTGTCACTTGGGGTCGTACCAACAGAGGATCCTGACTCCTCTTTGGCAGCTGAAGTACCACAGAAAACAGCATGGGAGTTTCTTTCCAAAGCTCCTTCTTACCACAGCTCTCCAAGACCCCAAAAGAGGTGCGTGAGGGTTTAGATCCATTACATGCCTACAAAGCACTCAGCTGAAGACAGCCGCACTGCTAAGTTATTATAGCCCATGTGTGCCTCAGTGGGGGCGAGGTGGTTAATGACTAACTTGTAAAACTGCTTGGTGCATGGGTGAACTGAGTAGGTGTTTTCAGAAACAGCTGTGCCAGTTTCCCCTGTCAGGATGGGCTTGGGTGCTGGCCAACTTTCCTGTCACTCTCTGTTTGCAAAGCTTTGTGTGGTTGAGTTTTAGTTTCTGAAACCTGTCAGGCACCACTGAGACTCAAAAGCAGCATGTTTTTAGCATTATTTCAGAACTTGCTTGGTTTTGCAGGACTCATTATTGTGAATATCAGTGTTTTAGTACTCTGTAAGATGCAGAAGTCAACATACTAGCACATGGAAGCACCAATTTGTTACTTAAACACTAATTATACCAGAAGAAGCCCAAATCCATTTTGTTGATGCTTATCAGACTACGAGCTCTATGGTCAAGGGTCTATACATACTGAAAAGTTGGGCTTGAGTATGGGTAGGAACTACCAACTTGACTGTTTTGGC